AAAGCGTCCACGGCGACTGGGTAATCTTGCCGAAGTGGCGCCCCAAACTCCCTCGAGTTATCGGAGTCGGGATATTCCCGCCACTTCAAAAGATATTGGGTCTGACCCAGGTGACAACGTCGTCTTACTAGACGTTCCACATGATACTGGACGTCACCGTTCTCATCGAGAAGATCTGGTGTCGGGCGGTAATGACTGGGTCGAACGCCGTTCAGTGACTCGTGATGCTCTTCGAGCTCTTGAGGACGAGATCCGTTGTGATCGAAGCTCCGCTGAGCGTCATGCTGAAATTGCATATCGCTGTGCGGACGTTCTTGACGATTTAAGCACGTCGTGCGCCGGCTGCCTCTCGTTGAGGACTACCGCGCTCTGTTGGAGTGACTCCTAGCCGTGGAGCAGGCGGATGCTTCGCTGTATGCGACGGTGGAGCGCTTGGCGCCATTAGAAATGGAGATTTTTGCAATCCGTGCTCAGAACCGGTTGCTGGTTCAACTTCTGGGTGGCCGCAGCCCCGTGGGATCCGCTCCGGCGCCAACGCATCCGCATTTAGTTGCGCCGGATCCCGTTACGGCTTGAGCAAGTCCACGTAAAACACCGGGTGGGTGTGCATCTGTTTCGGAAGGTTCAGCGTGTATGCCAGGCCCGTTTGGCCACAACCTTGAAAGGTCCGATAAACCATGGACGAAGCTTCGTCCTGAAGATAGCAGATGCCGCATGTGTAGGCAAGTTTATTGAATTTAATAAAACCTGGCCGCCGACCTTAAGGCTTCCCACTTTACCTCTTCCTTTTTCATCTGCATATGTTTCTGCACGCCGCCATCCCATGGATCAGGGCTTGGTGGGGAGGAATAGCCGAACGGCAAGCTGATGTCAGCCCCCTCACCATCCGTAAAGAAGTCGATGACATCTTGTCTACCAGACTGAGTGTCCTACGACACGTTCGCGATGCAATGGTTGAAATACAAGACCTATGGTCAAACAGAAATGGCGAATCGCGTCATCGAAGACGTTCATAGCAGCGTCTGCGCTGAGACGCCGAGGCGCTGGAGCGCCATGTTGCCGCTCGTAGAGTTTGCACTGATCAATGCAGTGCATTCGTCTACCGGCTACACGCCGTTCTACGTGAACGGGCTAGTTCACCCTAGCGTCCCGCTGACGGTCTGCAGATGATCTACTGTCAACATATCCAACTTGGTGCCTAGCACCTTGAAGATAGTTGACCATATTTTCCCGTAAAAGGGGGTCTCAATCAGAGACAATTGACTCAGAGTGTCCGTGTTGTCGGAAAACCACGAACAGCGTTACTGTACTGACTCCGTCGATGGTGTCTGACACTACCGACAAATGAGCCATCTTGCTCAACCGGTCGACGGATACCACGACACCCGTGTTGCCCGCCAAATCTTTCGGCAGGCCAAACACAAAGTCCAAAATCATGGACTGCCAGCACCCATTGGGTACCGGTAAGCTGGCCAGCGGTGCAGCCGCATTTGGAGAGGCTTTTACCCGTTGACACGTATCACACGTGCGCACATAGGTGCTCGTCCATTTGTACAACTTGGGCCACCAAGTGTGATGACTCACAGAGTTGTACGTTTCTCACGACCGAGATGACCACTGAGTGGCGTGGCGTGGGCCTCATAGAGGATGCGGTATTTCAAATTCTCATCATGAGGAACCAAAAAATTCGTGGTGTATCCGTTGATTCGGTGCTACAATATAGTAAACCATTATTCAACGAATATCGGTGCAATCGCGCAAGCAGTCTTTGTGACATTTTTTTGCCCGAGTTTCCAAACTTCTTGCTCCCTAGAGCCCGTAGCAACGCTACACACATCCCATCACCTGCATATGCACCCTGAAACAGGCTCTACGCCCGGCGTCTTGCAGCCTGTATACGGCGTCGCCGTCGCCTCTGTACATAGGTTCTATGTCTCGGTGAGACCAAATAAACACGCACTCCGCGTCTGTTACCCTCACTGTCTGCTTCTTTGGAACTCCGATATTATTTACAACATCCGACGAAGAACTGCTAGCCCCGCAGTCTTCGTCCAGTAGATACCGTGTCACTCCACGCGAATCTGAAGGGCCGTGCCCAAGATGCCTCGGACTCTGTCCGACCACACCATCAATGGAATGCAGCGAGAAGCGCCAATATTGATATATCAGCTGTTGATTACGTACTGCTTCGCAGCGAGAGCAGTGCTCAGTGGTTTACGTGCTACTCCACGTGCATCACGAGGGCCTCGCTCTCGATGCCTCGGCCTTCGGCCGACCATGTCACGCTTGACTTGCAGCGACTGCTCCGACACCTGAGAATCGCTCAGTGGGTTACGGCCACTTCACGATTGGCCCAGGAGCCACGCGCGGGACTCCTGTCCAAGGCATTGTTGGTGTCTACAAACTCGGATAACCAAATGTCTAGCACGTTGACCGTCTCGTTCCAGTGCTCTCGCTTATAGCGCTTTTAGCACCTAGCAGAGGTGGGTTCATGATTCGCCAAAGCTCCACCAGGAGACGTGCGCGTAGCGCCCAATGTCTTTGACCTCCAATCAATCCATGGCTCATGAGGTTCCAACCATGCAATTCCTAGGATGAGGTCATACCTTGCATCCAAGCCTAAAACTAGACAGCGTTCCACGCTATCAAAGTCAAGGAACTTGACTCCGAGGTCCACAGGGACCTTCGGGACCGAGACAAGGGTCCGGGTCGCTAGGCGAACAGTGACGATGTCACCCAACCGCGCTTTTAGCGCTCCAGCATACAGCTGACTTTCCTCCATTGTGGAGCGTTGAGCACAATTGCCCGACGCCCCAGAATCGATAAGGATCTTCTATGGCTTCTCGAAGCCCTTAACGGTCGCCTCCACGACCAGCAGCCCGGCTTGCACACACGTTCCGTGTTTAAGAGCAGGGACTCTTCGGGACTGGGCCCTGTTGACCTATGCCTCCCTGTGGCTCAACAGATCTCGGTTCTTTCTCATTAGGGCGTCCCGCGCCTACTGAGTGGTGTCATTTTCCCGCAGCGAACCAGACTGAAGGCGTTGGGGTGATGGTTCGAGGAACCTTGATGCGCCTTGCGCAGGGGACAACCGTTCCGAATGTGAGGGGTGTCCCCACAGACAAAACACCGTCGAATGTGTGTATGCTGCCCGGTAGCTTGGAGCTCTGCCCCTCATCTTCAGCATAGCTGAGATCCATGGGCATAGGCACGCTTGACGAGTTGTTGGAGTTTGCATTCCAACCATGTCGTGCCGACTTGAAATTAAACTCAGCTATAAATTCCACATTCACCACCTATTTAAATGAAGACTAATGCACACGGAAGACTTCCATTCTGGCCACGCCAGCG